AAACGTCAATGCCGTTTATGATTGAATTTAATATATACTTAAACCACTTTTTTTTAACTAGACGACAATTTAGTTGCATTGACTTTAAAAAATTTTTCGCAAATTTGTAACTTGTGTATTGTTCATAACCCTTACAGAAACATCATACTGAAAATCATTGATTAATTACTTATTTTCAGTATCAAAACTTTAGTAATATTCTGTGATTCAAACACAGCTCTTAATGTTCAAGTATTTCAATGTTTAGTGTTACAAATACTACCTTATGAGTGATTTTAATACTTAAATATTAACATACAATACTTCGTTCAGTGATAAAATACTTACATATAGCATTGACAATATTTAAAAACTAAAATGTAATACTTTGCTAAGTGATGAAATACTTACGTAAAGTACTGTCAAAATTTAAAGTATTAACCCAGATAGCACACAATATTAATGATAAATATTTATAAATATTAATGATAAATGTTTATAAATATTTATTTCAAATTATTTTTTTTAAATATTTTATAAATATTTTATAAATATTTTTTTATATATACATAAAGAGAGAAAGAAAAAGAGAGTTGAAAACATTTATTCAAAATATTATTAAAATATAAGCTAAATATCTGAATATTTTATACAATATTTTATATATGTGAACAAAAAATTAATTTGTAATAATATTTTGTAAATATTTCTATAAATATTACGCATGAAAAAAAATATAATTATTTATTAAATTAATGAAGAAATAAGAAAATTGAAATTTAAATTGCAGCATTGCTACAACGTTGCAAGATTGCATATTGCAGTGCAATGTTGCAAAGTCATTGCAGTGACATTAATTTGCAATATTACTTTAGCAATATTGCAACAATGTTTCAAAATTTACAAATATAATATAATAATTACGAATATTATATAATATAATAATTATGAATTATTATGAATATAATATAATATTTTTTTACTTATTTACTAGTTATTTTTGTTATTTGTATTTCAAATTCAGTAATGTTTCATATCAATAGTACTTCTAGAATAGTACTTGTTAGTGGCAATCATTAATACTAGAATTTGTCTTATTGCATATTTCTTATATTTCTTATACCGTTTTTCAGAGAAAATACTAATTTTAAATTTAATATTCGTACTTGTTTAATTTTGTGGTTTTTTTTGTTTCATTAAAATTTATATTCTTAAAAGAAATATCATTTTTTAAAATAATGAAAATAAAATCTTTTATTTCATTCAAGAAAATCATGTCATTTGATGAAACAACACTATTGTTTTAAATATTATTTTTTAAAAGTCTTTTTTCAAAATTTAGTAATTCGATTTGTTTAATTTGGATTTTCTTGGATTTAAAAATTTTTTTTGTTTGGATTAATTATTATAACATTCTGTTAAAAATCTAAAAGTAATTATCACTGGTTCACTACATTACATCAATATTTATCGCATATCGGATGTTGTTGCATTGTTTCAATATCTATCAGCAAATTATCTAACAAACACTAAGTAAAAATTATATAACTATTACTTGGTATATATATTTGTTAGATGTTATAATATACTGTGAACACTATAAGGATACATTATATAGGTATAAATGATAAGAATATCGTTGGAGTCATCAGGAATCGTTGCGTGCCTTTCGATCATCAGGTTAAGCAACACTTTAACGGAATCAGGACATGGATGGAGTGACCGGTGCACCGCTTGGGATTGAAATTATCGAGAAAGGATTCATGAAAGTTTGGAGTGTGTTGACAACCTTCGATATCTAGTGGTTTATGAGACATGAGAAAATTAGGAATATATAAGTATATTTTTTTAAATATTATGATTTTCTCATTTTTCACCTTTGCACAATAATTCTCAGTGTTTGATTACTATCAATATTTAACAGTAATTTTATTATCAATATTCACCAGAAATTAAGTACTGAAAAACTACTGAATAGTAGTTAATAATAAGTACCAAAAAATTACTGAATTACTGGTAATATTTAATCACAAATAATTTTTTAGTATTTCTTAGTATGATATTTCTGTAAAGGTTGTCCACCATATCCTATTATATCCCGTGGTCTCGTTATGCCCCAGATTCCTCTACGATCGTTTAAGTCAAGCGACTCAAACCGTAATCAGTTTAAGAATGAGTAACCGCATCATGGAACGATGGAGCGTTTAGATAGAAATTCACGGAGAGAGGACGGGCGCATATAATAAAATAATAAAAAGTCAAACCGTCAATAATGCAAGAAATGAAAAATCAAATTTTTTAAGATTATTTGAACAAAATTATCAAACTCTTCTTAGTAAAATAAAAAAAATTAAATAAAACATTTTTCTGATTTGGACCAAACAATAAAATTATTTAGGAAATTAAGAAATTGTATTTATTGTATATATTATTATCCACTGTTGAAAAAAACCAAGTAAGAATCCATATGGAAAATCCATACGGAATCCATATGGGAATCCATCCCCCTTGTGATTAGGATCAAAAACCTATGGAAAACCATATGGATTCCCACATGGTTTTCACAGGAATCCCATGTGAGATTCCATGATAGTTACCCGGTCAGCACAAAATATTTATAAGATTTATTTGATTATTTTATAATTATTTACCAAAATATTTCATAAATATTTATGTGACTTTAGACTTAATAGATCATAAATGTTTATCATAAATATTATAAATTTATTTATTAAAATATATACATTTATATATATATATATTTCTCTTCCTGAATTTTTCTTAAATTTCCCACTTTATTGTTTCACACGCTATTTAATTTAATTTAATTTAATAAATTGTAGTTCGAAAAAATTGCTTACTATGTTGGGATTCGAACCTGAGACCTCTGCTTCTTGAGTCGTTCACCTTACTGCGCCACTGTCACTTTGACTGAGAGAACTTTATATTGTATACATATGGTATATCAATGTACGAAAACAAGTAATTTATTTAAAAGAAGAGAATAGATCCTTTTATATGTAAAAAGTATGTTTAAAAAACATATAAAAAGTATATTCATATACTTTTTACATTTTATAAGTATGTAAAAATATCTACTTGTTTTAAAAGTAAGTAAAATACAAATTAATCATTTTGTAAATTTAAATAAATTGTTTTCTGGTAATAAAAGTAACTTTAATTTTTAAATATAAAAAAGATACTTTTAATATTAGAAAATAATTTATTTAGACTTACTAAATAATTAACTTGTATTTTATTTACTTCTAAAACAAGCGAATATTTATTTAAACTCAATTTTTATATTAAAAAAAATTAATTTTCTTCTTGTTAGGAAAACATTTGCTTATTCTTACATATAGATGTTTTAAATCAAAGAAATTATTTTTTATCTAGAAATTCATAATTTTATATTTCATTTTACAAATTTAAAAAAATATTATTTTATATTTATTACATATTTTCTAAAATCTAACAAATATTTCTTTAAGTTAAGAAATTATATTTAATAAGATATATTTCTTTAATTTAAAGAATTTTTTTCAGTGTACATTATCAATTTAAATTAAAATTTTCTTATTTTTTCATTTAATAATTATAAATAATTATAAATAATTATATTTATTTCTTTCATGTATAATATTTATAGAAATATTTATAAAATATTACTACAAATATTAATTTTTGTTTATTTTAAATATTGTATAAAATATACTTAATCTATATTTTAATAATATTTTGAATAAAGATTTTCATACTTTCCCTTTTATGTATATAAAAAATATGTATAAAATATTTATAAAACATAATAATATTTTTAAAACATAATTCGAAATAAATATTTATAAATATTTATCATAAATATTGTGTATTGTCTGGGGAGACGCTTTTAATATTGATAATTAAATGAGGTCCTTGTTGAAGATTTCTAGATGGGTTGCTTACGAATCCGTAAAAATTTATATGAAAATTCATATAGAAATTCATATAGGAAATTAAAATCCTTATAGGAATCCATATGGTTATCCATATGGATTTTTAAACATCACATATATTCCCACATGGATTTTTATCTTCTATATGGATTCCTATATGGATTTCGAATTTCCAGGTGGATGCCTATATGGATTTTGATTTCCTACATGGATTCATGTATATTATCTCATTTCATTAGATCATTTCTATATGGATCCCTATGGATTTTAAATTTCCTGTATAGATTGCCATGGATTGCTGTGGGAATCCACCTGAAAATTTTCAATAGGGTTGAAACATTAGTTTCTTTGGATCATCTCAATTATCAAATTCGTTTCAATAAAATTTATTAATTTTAAAGAAATCTTTTTCTGTGGATTCTGTGGAGAACTTGATTCTACCTATTTTCAACAAAAATTAACATTTAGGATATTAAGCAAATAAATTTATATATAATATGTGAAGTGTATCATATAAAAGTATTGAATGCAAATTTCAGAATTATTGACCGTTATGTTTTGAAAATATAGCATTAGAAAGATCATAATTTATAGTAATATTAAAAATATATGTACACATATATTTACATTTTAATGCTTTTTTCTATTATCTGTTTATCTCTGTCAACTAATACATAAATATTTGTTTATCTCTGTCAACTAATATATAAATAAGATATTAATAAGACATTAATAAGAAAAAGAAAAAAAATTTTAAACATATTTTAAATAATTACTATTTTAAAAAATAATATTTTCATATTTATAATAATTTGTACATATATATTTATCTCATCTCTCTCTTTCTCCCTCTCTCTCTCTCTTTGTTTCAAATTAACATTTATTACTAGATAGTAAGGTAAAAACGTAATTTTGTTTAATAGATAGTAATTTTGATCCCTCTGAAAATATACGCTATTGAAAATATACGATGTTAAGCCTTACAACCATCTTAAATAAAGAATGAAATTATCATAATAATGGATTAGTAAAATTATATATAAATCGTTCAAGGATTGCTTCATTATATATTATTGCCGATTTCAGACTCAGCACTTCGCAACTATGCGCTGATCATGTGAAATATTTGATACGGATCTCTGTCGCATTGGCGGAAAGACGCAATACGATAGAAACGATCATGCTGGACAATATGATCGGTAGGCTTTACAGGCTGCTAACAGAAGATACGAAATCCACTTTGTTTGACGATTTTCCTGATCTATATGCAAATTGTAATACTCCTACTTTGTACTGGCTAATAGCAACAATGAAGGAATCCGGACGAAAACATTCAATATATAAACTTGACGATCTGCCAAGAGCTTTCTTGAATTTGCGAGAACATCCTACTACGCGCAACTGGAAACGCTTTGTAAGACGTCTTAATATGAATTTCAAATTAATATAAATTTCAATATTACTTCCAAAAAGTTTTGAACAAAATTTTTTCTATATGATAGATGCAGCATATATTTACGATGCAAGCAGTGGATTATAGCGATAATAAAGATATTAGCGATGCCTTAATTAAAATATGGAGTTTTGTGGCAGACACAATTACTGAATGTGAAGACAAACAGCTCGACGTATTATCTGATTTTATGATTATTTTATTTGACAGCACTCGTCTTGATAATTTTCGGGATGACGTCCTTGATTCGGTATAACGAACCCTATTTCTATTTCCCTCTTTCTTATGTCTTACTTAATCTATCTTAATTAATGCCTATTTGTACTAACGTCAATTAAGAGGAGAAGGTTTAAGTTTAGATTAAGAGAAAGATTTGGTTTAGATAACTGAAAAATAGGTTTTTACGAATTTTTTTTAAAGAAATAAAGATATCAATGAGATTTTTATCATACTATTTTTGTTTTAAGTCCAAAAATTACTTTTTTATCGAAAAACATAAAAATTTCATCTAAGTTTTTTGTTCTACACGCATTGTCGTTAGATACTTCTAACTTGTAAATTACGTTACAACTTATGTAGTAATCTGAAATAAATGGAATAAAAAAATTTTTAAACTATATTAAATTTACTGGAGGACTTATACGATTTACATTTGTTATATGCAGAATATTGAAATTTTAAAAAATGGCGGCACTTCGAAATTATAAGTCATTTGTCTTTTTTTTTTTATTTAATGTCCCAGAGAAAATACTAATTTTTAAAATTTTCAAAAGGATTTATTTTCCAGACAACTTCATAGTCTTTAAATTTTCCTGTTCCATTTGTTAAAATTTATTATTATATGTGAGCTGTAATATTATCCACCAGCATGTACGCGCGTACGCGCCGTACATCCGGCGGTCATGCGCTCCATACAAGAAATCTGGCCAGAATTTCAATTATTTTCTTAAATAATTTTTTTATATTTAAAACAATGATAAATAATGTGTCAAAATATTATATTGACATCTTTATCTATTTCTTTATTAAAAATTCATAATAATATTCTATTTTTCAGCTATTTAAATCAGTATCTTCCCTTAGAACCTGAGTTTAAACTTAACTTAAGCCTTTGTTTGAAGAAAGTTTAAATTCAAATTACGGTTTAATCGACATTGGTAAATACGGGCATAAATCACACAAATAAAACTACTGAAACACTAACTTTTATTTATTCGCTATATTTATTGTCAATATTATTTTAGATTCTGATGTCCATCGCAGTTTCGTATACTTGCATGCTACCTCGAGTAAAGATCAAACTCTGCCAGTATTTACGACAGAACGTCGAGAATCTTGATCGTTGCGGAAGTCAAAGTGTATCCACTTTAATCAAATTGTTCAGCCATTTACTAGAAGATGAAAGTCCTTGGGTATGCCAAGAAGCCCTGGAGTCTTTTGAACGCATAGGACATGCGTGCTCGGAACAGCTTGTTGCCAGAATAGCAAAAGGTTTGGCCAAGATATCTACTATCAACAATGTCATGCAGGCGTATTTATCCTGTACACCACATTACGTGCTCGACGGTTTTTCGAACGCGTATGACTATCTCGAGAATGTATATAAAGCAGCTCAAGGCCACTTCCAGCACACGTGCTACGAACAAAAAGTAAGTACAACAAACGATAAAGCACGGAATATTGTCTTTATTTATAGAAGTGCTGACGCGATCATTGAATTTTGAAAGGAATCAGAAAGAGAAGAGAAAATGCCGAGGCTAGAGGAGAAAAACTCGCAAGATATCACGCCAGTGTTAATACAACTGGACGAACAAGCGGAGAAGATGTATAAAGGATTAACAGAGGTTTTCGAAAGACGAGCTAATATCAGTGAAACAATATGTAGAAAACTAATAACTGTCTTAGAGAAGATTCTAAACGCCAATAAATGAAATTTCATGGAAACTGTTTTAACTTCGTCGAAGTGATAAACATAGGAATTACATAGAAATTTAGTAGCGATAAAGATATTTTATCAGAAAGAAATGATAATTGAAAAAAGAAGAGGAAATAGAATATAAATAAAAATATTTGCAAAGAAACAAGAAGAAAGATAATTGATAAGTAAATAGAAAAAAGGAATAAAAAGAAATTGATGATTTTTAAGATTCTCTTAGTTATCTTACATTTGTGTGTAAAGTATATACAGGGTGTTCGGAAAGTACCGGGACGCCCGAATATCAGGAAAAATATAAGTTTTACAAAAAAATGTTTCAGACAAAAGTTGTGGCGTTTAAAAAGATGTATTTACTGATCACATCAGTTTGACCTTGGGTTGCGTAGCGAAGGTCAGGTCAAGGTCACATTAATTTTTTTAAA